CCTTTCCCTATTCCTTAAGTAGCTGATAGCCTTACTTCAGCAGCCCACGCTCTTCATGGCAGCGGTTGCTGTTCTTTGGAGGATCTGGCGATCCAGGAACTGGGTAGTCTTTGAGGGGAAGCAATTTGGGATCCCTGCGTTGATGCGCCAGTTCTCCCAGCAGTATGAGGAATGGGTGCGCTTGCCGGTGGATAAAATCTCCCTAGTTGCTCCTCACCCGTTACATCATCCGCTGGCTCCGGGAATGCTGACCGGGGTTGTGTGTATGTGGGATGGGGCTACGAGGTATGGGTCTCATTCGGCAGGTGGTTTGGTTCTCATGTCCCCTACTCGGGAGGTCCTTCGGGTTAAAGGGGTCCAATTCCCGGATATGGATGACCCCATGATGGTGGAGCTGCTAGTCCTTCGTGAAGGCCTGAGGTGGTGCTTGGAGCAGGGGTTCTCTGAGGTGAATTTTGAAGGGGATGCCAAGGTGATCATAGACAAGGTCAACCGCGCTGATGTGAGAGATAGCCGAGTGGGTGCGATTTTAGAGGAGGTGGTGCTGGGCTTCTCCAGTTACCCTGGTTTTAGTGTGCGTTTTGTAGGTCGGAGTAGTAATAGGGTAGCCCATTTGGTGGCTAGGAAGGCCCTTTCTTTGTACCCGACTGCGAGTCGCTTTTTTTATTTTCAGGCCTGGCTGAACTCCAGGATGTAACTGCATATTTTTTTGAATCAATGCATGATTATCTTTTGTAAAAAAAAAAAAAAAGAAGGTGACATCTAAGTATTGATAGAATTGGAAAAGCCAAATTAAGGTTTTGAACATTATATTATTTTAAAATTTTAGTGGAAGGTGGATGATGAGATCGGATGACAAGTAATTGGGTGTAGCTGGTATATGAATTACATGAGAGTCGGTTATGAGTAGGGATGGCAATGGAGCGGGTTTGTCTAAACTATCCACATCCTCATCTTCAAATATCCAAACTCATACCCGCCTCATACCCATGCGGGGGAATGTTTGGCAAACCCATCCCCATACCCGTGGGTTTTAGGTACCCATGGGTAATATCCGTACCCATACATCCAACATTATTATCCTAAAATTTACAAGAAAAGTTTTAACTACAACTCTAAACGTACCTATTATATCACGAATTCAACAAAACACGATCATTTTTTAATACGGTTCAAAGAATATGATCCTAAAATAATTGTTAATACATAATATAGAATATAATATTTTTTAAATTATTATGTTCTAACTCTGATACATCTACTAAGAGGTCGTTTGGAAGTTGTGATTGTTAGAGTTGTGTTTGTTGAATACATGTATAATGCACAATACAATGTTTGGAAGTGTCAAAGTGTAAAACAATGCATGTATTGTTTTAGGTAGGTCCCACCAACAATCACAAAAAATGATGCATTATACAATCTCAACTAAAAGTTGAGATTGTTGGTTTTAGATTTGTGTCAACTTTTTCTTTCCATTTATATCCCCAATAGTTTTTGTCTTATTCTAAAAGTTGAGGGTAAATGTGACATTTTCACGTAAAAGTAACTTTATGTAAATCAATGCATAAAGTAGAATCTCAACAACCAAACAATGTATTGTTAAAATGCATCCATTATATCAATACATGCATTTATATTATGGTGATTCATTACAATGCAACGATTTAACATTCGCAACTTCCAAACGACCCCTAAGTAATAATTAACTAACATAATCTTGTTGACAAGGGGAAAAGTGAAAGAGTGAAAGGAGAATTGAGGGAAATGAATTAGGTTTTTGATTAAGGTGGTCACTCAATTGCATTTCTACTATTTATTTCCTCGAGTTATCCTCATCATCATTGATAGATTACAATTTGATCCACATATTTTTGTATATGTGAAGAAAATCTCTTGGTGGGGTGGATATGGGTATGAGTATGGGGCGGGGGAGGCTAAAACCATACTCGCCCTATACATGATCAAAGCAGGGATTACTCGCGTTGACTGGGTCGGGGGCGGTCGGGTACCCGCGGCCATGGGTTTGATTGTCATCTCTAATTATGAGTATGAAAATGGGAAGAAACACCTAAGCTCCTCCTCGATCCATCCCAACTGTTTTTTACGGGAATTAATCATACTCGCGTCCTCTAATTAACACAAAAATTCTCCTCATTGATTGGATCAAGTAGAGTCGAATATTCACAATTGTGGCACAGTTATCATCCCTAAAACCAGAAAAGAATTAATAAAACTTTTACATAACAATTAACCAATTGCAGCATATATAATAATAATATATAATATGCTGTGCCAGTCCTCTCCATTGACTTCTGTTTCACTCTATATACCATGACTCATCTATCACTATAATTATAACAACCTGTAAGCTTTTCCTTCTCTCTGAATGATCCGCAGCATGTCATTCTATTTCTATAATGTAATTCTGGGTGTATGTGTTTGAGTGGAGAACCAAATCATTAGGGTTTAGAAGGTTACTCCCAAAATGGCCATGTGATGCCTAACAGCTGATAGGCATTTTAAAATATATATTTTTTCAATGCTCAAATATGATTATATTAGTCTGGATTTTGTTGATCCGAGGGACGATCTTCTATACAGTATACACTACTAATTTTGTCTCTTGTGGTTATGCATGTTGTATCTTGGCAAGCAACAAATTAGTCACATTTATTACCTGTGATTTCATTGATCATACCTAGAAAAAAGAAATAAAAACATTTTTAACCGAAACATATTAGATACTGAGGCCTAACTGATGCAAGAGGGTCAACTTATTATTTCATAACTTGTGACGGTACATACAGAAAAGTGTGAATAACAACAAAATTAAACATTGAAACGCGTTTTGTCAAACGAGTCACTAATGAGGGGGAAGCATGTGATCTATGAGACTTGATATATGTATTAGCTACAGTAATCACTCATGCCTTTCCATAAAACAAAAGCAGAATCGCTTAATGTTGATGGAACAGATTTCGACTTGATTACTTAGTTTGATGGATCTTTAAGATGGGCCATTTTGCAATTTGTAAACAAATTATAGGGTCCCTTCTCATAATCATTACCATCTCATGTTTTCCTATCTATCACCTAAACAAAGAGGGGAGGAAAAAAAAACAAAAGACCAAAGAGATGGAACAAACTTGAAAAGGGGAAAGCAAAGGGAACCATGCTTTAACTCCAAAGATCTTGCCTAAATATAGTCCAAATAGATATATAACAAGCTCACTTTAAATGAAGGGTTGAAATACAGAGTGAGTTGTAGAGTATTTTATACCGATATCATGGTTTAATTGTGGTTCAACCGTATTATATCGCTAAATATCTTTTATTGATTTTACTTCTGGGAGAAAGTTTTTTCTGATCAGACGGTCGATACACTACGGTTTTTCAATCATTGCTTTAAAGTATGAAAGGGGAAAAAATGTAACCATGGTCACCCACTTACCCGAACGAATTCATCCATCTACTCGAATGAAGAATCGCTTCAAAATCAAGTGAATTTTCTTGTATCAAACTTTAATGACCTATCGTGAAATGAAAATGTTATAAGCAACCATGGTAATTTATTTTCACTGTGTGACACTTCAAACAATCAAATGTGTATGTCATAACAAGAGAAGTTCTTAACTTGATTTGATGAGAAGATTAAGCACCAGTGACGGTTATAGCAAAGGGATTGATGTTTTATATATGCTTCTTTTTCTTTTTGTCAAAAAATGGAAAGACAATGAATTTCTGGGTCCAAAATGTTCTCTTCTTGAGATTAAAGCAGAGGTTTCTATTTCACCCAAAAAAAGCAGGTTTCCAGGCCCAAAATGTTGAAGCTACGAGATTCCAAGGAGGCAAAACAGAGCATGTTTCTGGAAAGCTTCACACTCTTTCAGGGCTAAAGCGACATTAAGACAGTAGACACTATGTGTCACATTTGGCGGAGCACAAACATAATAAGAGATGGACCCAAAAGCACATACTTGTTTTGGAATCGAGATCACATATTCAACTTTTATTACGAGAGATAATTGATCGAGATTTCACGTTTGAATGCTCTTCAGAGTTCCAACCGATGCTCTCGATAAGTTGGAGCGAGTTGGATGATTCTGTTGAACAACAACATTGCATTAACCCTGTAACTGCAGAAGCATCGTACGATGCATAGGTAGACTGTGATATCATAACGACAAATTGAAACAAGTATAGGCATTCTGAACAATGTACAATTTCCCCCCCTTAAATGATGGTTGCAAACTCCAAGTGGTGTAGTCATCCTAGAGATCCCTGCAACTTGAAGCAAGATCAGGGCACTAGCTAGGAGGTGGAAAAGGCACACAGATATCCCACTAAAAGGAGTCTAACCCTTCAAGCAAAACTCAAAAACTCTCATCATTTGGTTTATAGAAGATTACTGGAAGCCCACCTTTGCAGTAGTAGTCCATGCGTTTGTTGGATTCTCTTGTCTGTGTCGACTCCAAGGAGAGGGAAAAAAAGTTTGAGAGCCCTAGTCTACATCTGTAATCATCACAAATCATACCAAGAAAATTCTTCTTTAGGGCAATGGCTATTCCCACTTTCTGCTTTTGTCAACCTTTTCAAACCTCAAGATTTTCACCACCAACCTAGCCCTTTTGCTAATCATTCGTTTGGGTGAATTTGAAGTAAATGTGTCCCTGAAATCATTGCATTTTGGTTAGTAATGGAGGCATTAGTGATCACAACTCTAAAGTTGCTTTGAGATCATAGTAATGCTGCATACCATTTCCCATGGCCATATGAGGGGCCATTTAATTTGACTAACAGCAACCAGCATAATGTTTAGTTATTACTGCTCAACAGTTGGATGCCTTTGTCTATCTAAGAACTAGAAAGCCCTCTTTCTTTATGCAATGGATGAACAATGGTTATTGGTTCCCAGAGGCCAGAGAGCAATGGAAGGCATAGAAACAAACTTAGCATGTTGTTCAGGAAACGATGAGTTCCTAGTTCCTACCCAAGAAAGTGTGAACCGATGGTTTCGCTGAAGAGAGGGTTAGAACAACAATGATTCTTCGGAACTCATTCGTTACTAACATGGTTAAGTCACGGCTTTTTCTTGTTCAGATACAACATGAACAAAGCAACACACTTCTTGTTCATTGAAGTAGCTTAGCAGCTCTGTTGCAGACTTTCTTTTATACTGTTTCTAAACAAGAAAGCAAATCCTTGTCAGATTCTATGAGATCAATGTAAATTGTTGCTAATTGTATACCATGAATGCTAACTGCTTCGTAAACGGTGGAATATTGAGGATGTTCGAGCATGACTCATCAGATTGATGCTCCAATTTTGAAGGGTAAGATTCTGATTTTACCGATCTTCGCTATTTCTACAGCAATGGCTGAAAATCTCTTGTACAGGGAACTTGCTGCTACAATGTCCCACTCTTGTTCAGTCTTCGTGATCACGGAAACGAATAATTTTGTTGATGAAGGACCTTTCACGGCGATATCTACAAAGACCGAACAAAAAGGAGAAATTATTGACATATTTGGACCTTTAACATCAATTTCTTCTCATAACAGGATATTGGCTAATGGAAAAGAGTGTACTCACATGATGATCAACGATATGGAGAGGCAAGCTACTCCAATGGAAAAGTGAATGAAGAATGTCGACCAGAAATTCTCGCGGTCAAGGAATACTCTCTCTGAAATGAGAGTAACTATCCCTGAAATCAGAAGCACTGGCCAACCAGAAGGCAAACATCTGGAAAAGGAGAACGCAGAGGAGTCCTATAGCGAGCAAAAAGCAATGTCAGTTCAATTTGGGTCAGGGCAGTACAAGCATGAGAAGATGTCTGTCACAATATAGCCATACCTGGAAATAACCCTTGATGAAGACTGCCGAGTATATAATCCTCATGGTCATATCTATACTAGTCAAGACAAACAAGTTCCCTTATCTCACGTAATAAAGCATCTCCACACAGACAAGAAACCTTAATATGAAGCGAAAACCTAAGAAACTTATGGAAGAAAATGTAGGATACTTAAGGAATTGGCCAGTATCAAGCCCACTGCTCCAGCTGACTGAATCAGTAAGACATTGAGTACCACATAGATAACGGAGAACAGAAGCAACGAGTCATTTGAACGTTTAATCTGGTTTTCTGTAGCAACAGCATGTAGAAATGCTTCCGAAGTGCCTGACAAAAATTAAACCGTTCAAATATCAAAGTTCTTTAGATAGCTCTACTTTACTCGCATTCTATATTGTCATGAAATTCCAGGAGAAAAAGGTGCACTGACCATTCATGGCTAAAACGATTACATATACGCAATAATACTGGAGGGCTATTGAAGCTTCTCCATCACTCCATTTCTGGCCATATAGCAATCGAATGAGCGAGTAGGAATAACTAGGACCAAACGCCATGAAAACAAGACCTGCAAAAGACGAGAAACATCTTATGGTCTTGATACATATGCATATCAAAGGGATGTTTTTTTTCTTTCTGAGTGAGACCAAAAAGAGAAGGATGACCACACAGGCAGTTCTGAGGGATTTATTGAACGAATGGATACAGATTAAAGGAACAATCTAACAGAGCAGGTTTACCAATTAGTAATACAAGCTTCAGTGCCTCAGTTAGAGAACTCCCAACCTTCTTGCTTTTGTTAGGATACTGTCCTGTCAAAACAGAAATTGAAAATTCCTAGTTACTAACAAGAAAGATGGTGAAACAATAGAGTAAAAACTGAATAGCAAGAATGCATCACGTTTTCAACATTTCTTTCAAAAAATGGCCCAGGTATACCCTTCTTAAAGTTTTCGATCCGAGAAACCAAGTGGATAAACAAATTGTGCATAATTCTTTTTGCACAGTGTCAAGTTTGAATTGCCAAGTTACCAAAGTGTAAGACTGTCATCTGATAGGAATTGTAAGGAAGTACAGTCAAGGCAACAACTAAGGAAAGATATAAACCTGATGCAGACCTGGCAAATGTAGAATATGAGCTTTCTTCAAAAGGAAGAAAGACCAGTCTCACTACTAAGCTCCCTGTGTGCAACAGTTTTAATAATGTTACAATATTGCTCAAAGAAGATTAATACAAGACAAGATACTCACGATGGAGAGGTAAATGTAGAGTTATCCAACCAACCTAATTTGTCGACTATTCCATATACAGCTTGATTATATGGTGTATCCAGCCACACAAGGACAAGCTTCTCGCCTTCTTGAAGGATTAACTTCCGGAAGGATTGAAAAGTAAAAAGCATACACATGTTCGAGAGCTGCTTATCATAATCCCTCAGTGTTCCTATCCTGAGAAGCATTATGTAACTAATAAGATCCATGGCGTATATAATATGCACTGACAACACGACAACAGATATTCTCTTAAATGACTTACAAGAGTATTAAACAACCATAAAAAAAACATTACAATTACCTGAATGGTAATAGTTTGAAACTTCTAAATGTACGCCTCAGAAGAAAGTAGCTCCAGTATCCTACAAACAAGCAAGCTCCATATGCAGTCTGAGACAGTGCAAAAACAATCCTTTTGTCCTACAAGAGTTGGAGAACTTTTATCAGTGCAACTGACCAAACAAGCATATCATGGCCACTGCTTTGAAGCATTATATGACTTTATGAGCAAAATTATGAAACTAATAAAATTTTACCATGCTAGAGAGCTTGACGACCAGTATGTACATAGTCAGACAGCGTAAAAGCGTGGCAGCAGATTCAACAATTAACCGCAGTTCAAGTAGCAGTAAGTTCTGTGACAGGATGTATAACGGCTCTGCCAAAAGCTCCAGCATACATGCACCGCCTGAAGCAGATATCCCAAGAAAGGAAGAGATAAGTCCACTGGAGATATATAGCACAGCAACCATGAAAAAAGAAGCAACATAATCTCACCATTGATCAAGATAGCTTGTCCATATGGGTCAGTGTAGTGTAGCCCTTGCCACCAGAAGACAAAAGCAGATGCTGCAATTGTGATTACAATTCCAAGTGGAAGAGTCATCCAAGCAACTTTCAGTATCTTGGTTGCATATTCCTCTGTTGAAGTTTCAGCACTGCAGAATACGCCCATCATGAATATTGAATACTTTCATATTAGAGTACCACAGACTAGAATTTCATAAAATGGTTGAATTAAAGTGAGGCAAAAGACGAACCCTTTAGCGTCAGCCCTCAAGGTGGCTCGCCGGAATCCCTCCCGGCTGAGAAACAGGACGCAGGTGACGAAAAGGTGAAACTGCACTGCGTAAATCTGCAGCTCAAATACAGCAAGGATATTCAATTTGAAGGATCCGTGAAAGCAATTGACTAGGAGAAATAATACACAAGAAGACCAGAGAGAATTGGAGGAAAAGGAATGATACCGCATAGTCCTCGGCAGTCAGGTACCTCACGATCCATGAATTGAAAATGAATGGTATTCCTCTGGACAACAACTGGGTAGCTACAATTCCACCATTGGAGAAGAATTCATGAGTGACAGAAGACATTACGGTTCAATCAGAATTAGTAAAACTGTGAGCTGACAAGTGATGAAACTCACTGACCTAGTAAGTACTTGAAAGTGCGAGAAAGACTGGGGTCGCCTGGCGTCGCCGTCGACATTATTATCAGGGATCGATCGAGCTCTCGATGGCTCTAGCTTCCAGCTTCGCTCAGCAGTCGTCAGCTAGTAAACCCATTCCGGCATTCGTCTCCTTTGTAAAGACACACAGATGGCGGAGGACGCGGCCACCAGCTGAAATTGCCGATTGACAATTCCGACTCACAACTTCTCTCCACGATCCAGTAGCTGCTGTCGAGCTTCGTGAGAGTCGAAACTAGGAAATCGCCGTCAGAAGTTACGATTCTTCCCTCCCCCGGTGCGGCAGCGGCACAATATTCTTCTTCGTGGACCGGGCCTACTGTATCTGAGATTGCGGCCCAGCCCATCCATATACAAATGGATGGTAAATTAGTCAAGTAGAATTGAGTTTTCACCTAGTTCAGACTCTCAATTCAGTATTAAATGAGTTGAGCTCGAATTGAGCCCGAATTAGATCTCGACATGTTTATTCAAATTTTAGTTCGTGTTTGACTCGATCCTAGTCATTAATGAGCTCATAAGTTCTATTCTAGTTTGTAACTCGTCAATCAGTTCTCAAGTTCGAATTGCTCAAATATCTGAATTCGTACGCTTTAAGTGCCCTATTCAATGATCAATTCAACTAATTCAGTTGGGTAATTTTATCGATTCGAGGGAAAATCACCATCACAAGTTTTCACCTACCCCAGATTCAACTCGACAATATTTTTGCATTGCTAGGAGGTCGCACCCGAGGAAAAAAAAGCGGGGGTTACAGCCTTACAGGGGATTCAAAAGGAGTTTGAATCGCAACGCGGCGTTCAAAAGTAGTGCCAAGGTAATCATCTCGAAGTAATACCGCTAGTCAAGGGGTGGATTAGCAAACACATGTACACCATAGGGGGATTCAACTCGACAATTAACGAATTGAGCTTTCACTTGTTTATTAAATCCTTAATTCGTATTTGACACGATCTGCATTTATTAATGAACTAATAAGCTCTACTCAACCTTGACTAGTGCGCACTGCGCAGATATCATCTGCTCTATTTAATGATCAATTCAAATTATTCTGGCAGGAAATTGACGTAACCAATGTCACCAAAGAGACGATATCGACCATTAGTTAAGTAAACATCTGACAATCGAGAAACATATGCGAAAGATCTAGTTGAGTATATTTGGATTGAAACCGCAAACCATAATCATATAACTCGACATAGCAAAAGAACTCCAAGGAGCACAGACCCGAAACCACTCACTGCGTTTCAAAACTCAAAAGGATCCTACAGTCAGGAACAAAAATATGGCAACAAACAACGCTGCAAAGCAAAGATCAACGGTAGCGGCGCAGAGAGAGTGTGTTGTTCCTCTTCCAGGTTGCCCTCCTCGATGGCTTGTTCTTGTGGTACAAGTGACCCTTTCCTCTGAGACCTCTGTACTTCTTTCCTGCAGAAGTGAGACCGCGAAGCTCCCTGTGCTTGTGGACTGGGTTGCATATCCAGTTGATCCTCGGGTCGTTGCGGATTGCATTGTGTGCCGCATCAACTAGGATCACTTCAAAGTACTTGTATGTCGAATCCTGCATTCATTCAACCATAGTGAGGAAAGGACATAAAAACTAAACCAAAATAGAGTAAAGCAGAGGCAGATTTCATAACCATATATAGCCCAACAGAGGCTTTCTGAAACGGCACCATGAATGAGCGCGATCAAATCAAGATAAGCTAACTAACAGGGAACCTAGTTCATTGTTCTGTTGAATAGAAGTCGCAACGAAGTTGAATGTAAGTGTCCAACTGGACATACCTCGTTGATCCAGTAGGAATTGAGAACCTTGAGTCCACCTAGCTTCCGCCCAGCACGTTCCTCTGCGACCGATCGCTTGCTACGCTGGAACTTGAGCTGAGTCACACCCTGGTTGGTGGGCTTTCCATACACAATACCCTTAGGAACTGGCCTCTTCCTTCCGCCACGTCTCACACGCACTCGATAAACTACGTAACCCTGCAATCAATTCACAGAACCACTACTGAGACACACGAAATTTGCACAAAACCAAAGCAGGGCGAACAGAAGATAAAGCAAAGCAGCCATCGACACACAAAGCCGAGACCCAAAAAAAATGAAGTTACCTGCTTGGCCTTGTAACCCAAGCGACGAGCCTTGTCAGGGCGAGTCGGGTGAGTGACTCGGACGATCGACGGATGCTGGCGATACTCCCAGCACCTAACCCTCTGCAGAAACCTCATCACATCCGACTGCTTCTTCCTCCATAGCTCCGAAACGTACTTGTAAGCCCCTATTTTCACACACCCACAGAGAAGAAATCAAAACCAATCACTAGGTTAATTTCCCACCATCTCCATCAACAGAGAACTAACTGCACATATTCCACTAAAACGCCAGAAAACCACCAGATCCTATTATACATTTCCCACAAACGGCAATCGGATTGGAGAAGATTCACATCATCAGGCACTTAACGGAGAAACTAAGAAGGCGAGAGAGAGAGGGAACAGAAAACGAAGACTCACCCATCTCGGCGCGCTGCTCCTGCTGTTGCTCGTTCGGCTGGGGAAGAAAGGGGAGTGACGGTGGCGAGAGATTGAAAATATATCTACGATTAGGGTTTCTGTGAAATGGACCGCCCAAATCCTTAACGGGCTTCTGGCCTATTAAAACTGCAGTTTATTAACATAACGGCCCAGAGCCCAATCAAGCATGAAGATGATGGTTGCCTACAGGGCTGGCTATTTGGTCCGGGTTTTTTGGTTTTATCTGAAACCGGACCGTATAACCTGGACTGAGACCGGAGCAGGATCGGATAGTAAACAATTCAATCCAATTTTGGGCTTAGATTTGAGGTAAAAAACTCGTTCGGGACCGGATCGAAAACTAGATAAAGACCAGATAAGAGAGCTCAACACCCAAAACTTAACGGTAATTTGCATAAACGGTCACAAACCTTTGCACTTAATACTAGGGCTGGCTATTTGGTCCCGGACTGTTTGGTTTTACCCAAAACCGGACCGTATAACCCGGACCGGATAGCAAACAATCCAATCTCATATTCGGGCTTAGATTTGAGGTAAAAACCCCGGATAAGAGACCCCCAACACCTAAAATCAAGATCAAATTGGGACCGGACCGGGTCAAGACCGGACCGAATCAAGACCGGACTATATCCAACCCAATCTTTGGTCCTTATATTCCCGAAAAGACCGGACTGGGACCGGATCAATTTGGTCCAATTTAACCAAACCGGACCGTATAGCCACCCCTACTTAATACAAAGCTTAACCAACTCCTTACCCTTTCAGGCCTTAGGCCACTCAAATCCCCACAAGCTCAATATAAAATCAAGACCAAATTAGGGTCGGACCAGATCAAGACCGAACTGTATCCAATCCAATCTTTGGTCCTCATATTTTCAAAAAGGTCAGACTAGACCGAATCAATTTGAGCCAATTTAACAGGACTTGACCATATAGACATCCATAGTTGCCTACCCTCTCAATAGTAGTTGACCGGAGTTGGGTTTTGACCTAACTTACATTCCACTTGTTTACAAAAACTTTGATTTGTGTTTGATTTGACTTTGATTTGAGATCTGCTCGTTAATAAGTCAATGAGCTCTATTTGATTTTGACTCATCAATTAGCTGCACGATCGACTCGAGCTCAAATATGATATTATTTTGTTCACAAATTTTAATTGTTGATACCAAGTTATTTAATAGTAATTATTATTTGAGCCGTTTATGATACATCAGTCTCTTTTAAATTATAACTGAGACATATTTGATCATGTGGTCAAATTCTTAAACATTATATAACTGAGATATATAATCTAGGGATGTCAATGGGTCAAGGGTTGGGTCGGATAGTGCATCTCCACTGCCCTACTAAAATAGTTCGAGTTTTATCCAATCTCATAAGAAAATCGAGTAGAATATCAAAATTATGTGCATGCCCGTTCGAGTTTCGTATCTATCGTTAACTATAGATGATATTTTCTCTTTATGATTTCTAGCAACATATTAACAATTTCGCATATGCTTAAATAAGATAAGTGAAAGTTAAAACAATAAATTACTTAGTTGAAAAATTAGTTACAACAATAAAATTCATAATAAATATTATATATGTTGGACAGAAATCAACTTAGGGGTGGGCAATGGGCGGGGTTGGGTGGATTTTGGTCTAAAATTGACCCACCTGCTTACTAGCGGGTTGGAATATATGTGACCCACAATCCACCCACATACTTATGTGAGTTGGGTTGGGTTGAGTGGGTGGCGGATGGGTGCGGTTGGATCGTGGGTTAACCCGCAAAAGCAATTCTCCAACTAGCCATTAAGAAAATTGACAAACATTTATAATAACTTCATAGCAAATTAATAAGATTGTATCAATAATTTGTGATTTTGATATAATTAATAATTTATAGTTTGTATGCCAATATTTAATGGATATTAACAATAATTTGCATACCAATATCCAATATCCAATAGATATTGCACAACACAATAACCCATAATAGTAGTCAAAACTATTCTTTATTTTCCACCTTTTGAAGTATATGGTCAAACTGTGTGCAGTTCGAAAATATGATGAATATTCGATACCGATAAGAAATAACATTTTTCTTTGGAAATATAGGACGTGGGTCATATGGGTGACCCGCAATCCACCCACAAAAGTGTGGGTGGGAGATTTAACAATCCGCAATCCACCCACATCAATCACCCAATGCGTGCGGGTCGGGTTATTTGCGGGTGGATCAATATCAATTCGCGGATTAACCACCCACGTGTCCACCCCCTAAATCAATTGAAAAATAGTGATTATTTTTAAACAAAAAATACATATATATGTTTATAAATATAATTGAACGGAATCGGGTTGGATATTGAGAAACCATGCCCACTCCATCACATGCAACATTCAGGTTATGGTTTTATTCATACTCATTTAAAAAATTTCAGGTTCGGATTTTACCTACCCAATTGGATCGGATTCGGACGGGTATCCACGATCAATGTTATTTTTGCCGTCACTAATATAATCTAACAATATATGAATTATCAACAAGCCAATGATAGATAATTAATCAATTCGGCAATTCGCTCATAAATTGCTTGTGTGGCTTTGCTAACCATGTATATCGTCGAGCCTGCTCATAGCTCAAAACGAGCTAACTCACGAGTTGAGCTCAACAAGCCATCGAATCGAAATGTCTCACGAGTCTCGCAAGCCAAACAAGCCTAAGCTCAACCTCGACTAGCCAGTAAATGAGCATAATATCAAACGAGTTTTTTCTGAACCGAACGTTCACTACCACTTGTAAGCAATTTAGCTGATTTGCAGCCCTGCTCCAAGCGGTGGTTGCGGCTGCATGATAACCCCAAAAGTGCCGCAAACTGTAACCAATCGGATCCCCCCCGAATCTGGAATCGGGCATTTCGAGAGAAGGATTTCTGTGTGCGTCCCTTTGAGTGGCCTCGTGAAGATCACCATGGAACTCTTCTCCAAAACTCCAAAGGGGATAAGAAAGACAACCGGGTATATAAATACTGCCGAAAATAGGTTATCAATAAAACAAAAGAACTGTAAACGCAGTTGATGTTACGGAGAAATAGATAAGAGGGGGGAGAGGTCAGTTACCGGCGCTGAGGGGGGAAACGATAAGCATGTTTTTGGGCGGAGGCAGAGGGATGGGCGGGATTGGCGGCGGCGGAGTTAGCGGCGGCGGCGGGGGGAACATTATTAGAGGTCTTGGGAGAGCGGTTACTCGGGCTGGAGTGGCCGGTGACCCCATTTCACCGACGTCCGCCCCCAATTCCCCTGCTCCAGCGGCGGCCGCGGCGAGCCCGTCCTCCAGGCAGGCCCGGAAGCCGACGGCTTCCGGATCCGGATCCGGGTCGGGTCTTACTTTATCGGCCGGTCCCGGCGGAGCGCTTCCGATTGGCTGGACTACTTCGGCTCTGGCTGCTCCCTACGGCTCCCCGTTCGACGAGTACGGCAGGGATTGGGAGTGGGTTTCCGCCGACGGGAGCTCTTCCGACGACAAGGAGGTTATCTATGGGCTGACCGACGAGTACTTGGCACTCGCCCCGCCGCCGTCGGCGGACGAAGTTCACACAGCTGTCGATGAACTCTCCGAGTCAGTTTCCGCAAAACACACATCTTAATTAGTTAAACCGTTGTCCCATCTCGATTCAATAATGGGGTTTGATACTTCGATTCGATGATTTCCCGTAATTGGTGTTGCGTAGGTTTGTTGGTTCTGGACGGTACAGGAGTCTAATTCGTGATAGGTATGGGAACGAGAGGATGGACGACGAGATTTGGTGGAGCCCTAAGTTTGCTTCTTCTTCTTCTTCAATTGGATTAGAGCTGGACTGGAAGGAGCCATCTCCAAACCTCAGCGGAATCTCTCGGCCTTATTATGGGACTGATGCAGTTTACAGGGCATTCCATTTGCTGCAGAGTGATCAATCCGTTCAGGTCAGTACTAGGGTTTCTTCTCTGGGTTTCGGTTGATTGGGGAAATGCAATTTGCTACAGGACACTGTAAAATCTGTACCGTTTTACTGTTGGGTTTCTGTGCAGAGAATGGTGACTTCTTTGTCTTCTGATGCTGCCATATGGGATGCTGTTATGAACAACGAGGTGGTTCGGGAGCTGAGACAGGCTTATGATCGAGGTAGGCAATCAAAGAAAAGAAGAAGCAGGGGAATTGGTGTGCAATGACGGCTACATTCCATCTGCTACTGTTGCTAGAATTTTGATTACTGAAAATTGGTGATTCTTTCTGTTCTGTCACAGATGAAAACAGCAACACGAATTCAATGAGCCAGGAGAGTGCAAGCGACGACGAGACTGTGAGTTATGGCGACGAGGACGTCGTTGGAAACAAATTTGTGAAGTGGATCCTCGACAATGTGAAAGCGAGGGTGGTGGCGCTGATCGAGAGCTTATCGGAGCTGGTGAACAAGGTGGTCGTGCCTCGTGGTGAAGATGGTGGTGGCCGTGTCGGGGAAGGAGCGGCGGGCATGGCAGCATTTGAAAGGAAGGTTGTGACTTCGTTATTGTTATCTGTCGTTGTGATGCTGGTTGTGGTAGTGAGCCGATCCCAAAAGGGTTGACCTTCAAATTCGTCGATCAAACATAATGTTTTTGCTTGCTAAAGATCAATTATATCAGTTCATGTACTGCGATTATCTTTTACATAAAAACTCATGTATCGATCGCCATTAGTTTAATCTGTGTTTCCGCTCGAGAATATATTACCACATTTTGATATCGAGTTTTGTTTGTGAAGATACTGTAGTGTAGCAACTTTTCCAAACAACTAGCTAGATGTTTTGTTTGGATGTGTGAAAGCCTGAAAGTATTACCTTATTAGAAATCTGCTTTCTTAGATTTCTTGAGAAACAGAGAAACAGTGTTTCCCAAACACGGCTGAAAATAAAAAGCCCAAACACGGCCCAAACCTTGGATGGCAAGCCAATATTCTACGGCCCTGAAACTTGAACTGAAGAGAATAAATTAAGCGACGGACCTGGTCCACTGCCGTTTAACTAAAGAATTAGGGATTAACTAATACCAGAAAGAGTGGGGTATTAGGGATTTGGATCGGTACTACGATG